TCAGAATTAAAAGGCATTTTAAAATAGAACCAGGGCTATGCTCCGCCATGTTTTTTTCGCCTGCTCTCGACCTTTGAGTAAGAAAGCAATTTTCGTGGGAGCTAGAGAGCTCTGGGACCGTTTTTCTTTCTGCTTGCAAGACCCGCCGAGCCTAAAGTTAAGTAGCGCGTATGTTTATGGCCACAGAGACCAAGGGCAGTAAGTTATTAGAAAGGAAATGCAGTGTTTATAGAGCCTTTCATTTTATTTTGCTGGACCGTCTTAGTTTTGTTTTCTTTTATTGTGTTCTCATTTTATGTTTCGTTTCTTAGCTTTTTATTGTTATTTAATTTTGTTTTATTCGTTTAATTGTATTTTATGTTTCGGTTCTGAGCTTTTATTTAGTCTTTTGTTTTAGTTTTAGCTTTAAGTGTTTTTACTGTCTTGCTCTTAGCTCTTTATTTATGCTTGCCTTTTATGTTTCATTCTTAGCCATTTTATTATGTTTGTATTTTAAGTTGTTTTTATGCTTGCATTTTATGTTTCATTCTTAGCTATTTTATTATGTTTGCATTTTAAGTTCGTTTTTATCTGTTTTGAATAAATGTAGACTATTACCTTTGTTTTACGGCCCACCATACACCTACCATCTTATAAAAGAATTCACAAAAACGATCAAAATCTTCGAAATCACTACAGAGCTACTACAAACCACCCGACAAACTACCCGTCAGCAGTGTGATACCATGCTTAGTTCTGCAGTTATTGAGCCATCAACATGCCCTTGACTTAGCCCTGTAGTTTTAGTGAAGAAAGATGGAAGCGTAAGATTTTGGATTAACTACAGGGGCCTTTATGCCGTGACCAGGAAGGACTCCTACCCTCTTCCTCGGACTGATACTCTTGTTTATGAGGTAGGATCAGCCTCTATATTCACCACACTCGATACCAAGGCTACTGGACAGTTGAAGTATATCCATCTGACAGATCATAAAACAGTATTTACAAATGTATATCGCCTTCCACTTCTGTCGACTACCCTTTGGTTTGGCGACAGTACCCTCAATATTCCAGAGAACCATGAACACCCTCCTGACACCCGTTTTCGGAGAACATACCCTTCATTATCTCGATAACATTAATGTTTACAGTCCTAAATTTGAGCAATATCTTCATAACTTTGAAGAAACTCTCCAGCTTTTAAAGCAAATGGTTTAATGATCAACATGGCAGAACGTAAGTTTGCAACTACAACAATAAATTTCTTGGGATATACTATAAACCCTGATGGAGTGCTTCCTAATCAGGAGAAAGCTTCCATTGCCCAGACTCCACTTCGACGCACGTTCAGGGAGGTGTTGGACTTCTTAGGATAAACAGGTTTCTTCAGAATGCATATTCCTTGGTATTCTACCATAACTGCACCATTACACTTCCTCCCTAAGAACCAGAAATGGCTTCAGGCACCAGCACAGCAGGCAGCCTTAGATCTGTAGCAAAAGTTAGCATCTGCCCCAGTCCTTAGACAGCCAGACTTTGAATATGAGTTTGAACTTCAAGCTGAGGCTTCTTCCATCGGCGAAAGACCATGTCTTATGCAAAGGGCAGATGATAAATCACCTCATGCTATAGCCTATTATGGACGTAAACTATGGGATGCGGAGACAAGATACCCAGCCATTGATCTAGAATCCCTTAGTGTGAGTCTTTGATTCCTACTTTTATGGGAGTCACCTTTTCACCTATACGAATCTTCGCCTACTAGTCCATGTGTTTTCCAAGAAAACTTCCACGATGACACGCTTTTGCACATGAGCTATCCTTCCTAAATTTTAGTATATAGTACAAAGGAGAGCCAACTATGTTCCTGATTTGCTCCCACACTTTGTGGCAGCTCTGGAAGAGGAGCAAATGCCAGTGGAACCTACTGTCAAATTTACTGGCCTATTACCAGAGGCACTAACGTACTTGATAGAAGATACAGTACCAAGGAAGAAATATCCATTCACACTGGAAGAGTTTGAGGTCAAAGGGGTCTTATATTGCCTCCGGCACCTTCTTGATCAGCCACAAGCCTTAAGAACTTTTTAAATGCAGCTCATCTGCCACCATTGGTGTCATTGAGTTATTCATCGTACATATGAAAATGCTAAATATGTGTTCTATTGGTTAAAGTGTTGGATTCACTACATCTATACATACATATAATGGTGCCAGCTGGTGGGATGCGTGTCAGTCAGGTTATAAGCAAGAAGCTGGTGCAGAAAGTAGTATGACAAGACTCGAGTAATAGTACTGTACCTTATAATGATAGTTTAGCCAACAATAGTGCAAATGTGATGGATCTTTCAATGTACGAAGAACTGTCAACAAGTATGAACCCGGAAAACTCTTCCAATATTTCACCAGTCACACCAAAAACCATAGAATGCGTGATTAACAGAGAAGATTTGGTGCCTAAGTTCAAAGTAACAGTACTGGCAGATTTTCCCTTGAAGTGTAATCAAGAGGTAGAATCATGGTTACCTGCGATTGAAAATGTAGTTAGAACAGCAAGTGATGAAGCATATATTCGCACAGTGACAGCTTCATGTCGAGGAACAGCTGACTTGATCATAAATTCACGTTTTCGATGGGTTAGACAGCTGGTTAGAATTTAAAGCCCTTGTACGAGGAAAGTTTAGAGGAACTTGCTCTAGCACCGAATTCTTCAAGCATTTGCACAATTCTAAGTTAGTGGTTGGTCAAGCCCCTTTGGATTTCTTTGTGTCAATCGAAGGATTAGTGTATCAAGGATTCAGAGATTATCCTGTAGCAATTGGTGTGCCGGATAAACTTATTCAAAGAGTTTTCATTCACGGATTATCTCATTGGTTGCAGGAAGCTTTAGCCCTTAAAAGTCATTTGTGATTGAAATTATCCTTTTTCGATACATTTTTTTTTTTTTTTATTCATTACACATCTTATAGATCTAAAACAGTTGAGGACATCAAGGGTCCATGCTCCATCCACTTCTCCCTTCACTCTTGTTCCAGCCCCTTCCCTTAATCCATTTCCCTATCCAACCATTGCCTCCACTAACCCTTTTTACTCCAATCCTTCCTCATCCTTCCGTATTTTCCCCATCTCCCTTCTGCATCATATCTCCCACCGACACCTTCACCTTCCATAGTCACCTCAACACCTCCAATTTCTACACCTGCCGTTCACTAGTCCCACCTTCTCCTTCACCTGTCACTACCCCCTTCTTACTGTACTGTCGACACTCCAGTCCATGAACCTCCAAAGAAGAGAAAGAGGACAGAGCGGGAAGATGTGTTTAAGAAGGCCCAGGAGAGACAGGACAGCTTCTTTGGACAGAAGACGAGATTGGAGCAACAGCACCAAGCGCAATTGCAGCTATATGGAAGGACAAAGCGGCTGTTGGACAATGCTGACCAACACTAGCACTGTCCGGTAGGCTTTATAGATGCAGGACATGAGACGTATACAAGCATGGATGAAGCATGCAAGCTAATTGCCGAGTCAATTAAGCGACAGGACAATATGTGATGTCTGTATTTAACTATTATTACCATTATTTTTTTTTTTCTTGTTAAAAGAAAATGACTAATAAGAATATTACCTAAGCTTAAGATTTTTTTAAAATTTGGTACTTATATTCTTCTTGATGTAGAAGATCCAAATTCCAAATTATGAAATGTTATGAAATGTACTTGATAACATAATTTTTAAGTGTATCTCAAAGACTTTCAAAATGGGCCCTCACTGGAAAATACTAAATTTTTCCCCTCAGGGGCTGCACAAAACTCTGAAATTCATTTTCAAAACCATAATTTTGTTATCAAAAGCCTGATTCGCTTGAAATTTATAATTTGGGTCTTCCACATCAAGAAGAATATATGCCCCAAATGTAAGCAAAATCCTAAGCTATAAGATAACATTGTTATTGAACTGATATGGGATGACCCAATTAAAAGATTCATAGCCTCAAAACCCTTCTATGGTCGACTCTGATATTTCTACCTTGAATAGTTTGATGATTAAACAACTGATTAACACAAGAATCAGACTGGGGGGGGGGGGTACTAATTCTCTGGGACAAATGAAAGAAGTTTGTTTTTCAATTATAATTCATAACAGTTGGTCCAAATGCATTTTTGCTTCAAAATGAGCCCTCACTGGCCTTCCTGGGGTTATTATATAAGAAAACACCATTTTTGTTTCTGGTCGGCTGCGCAAAACCCTGAAATGCTATGATTTTCGAATCCCGTAATTTTGTTCCCAAAAGTCTGATTGACTTCAAATTTGAATTTGTGTCTTCCACACCAAAGACTATATATGAAACAAATTTGAATGAAATCTGTGATGTAGAGGTGTTTCTCAGAGGTTAATTTCACGTTGAATTCATTGAAGTATTTTTTGGTGTTTTTTGTGAAGAGGAAAGAAAAGAATTCTATGTGAAAGAAATGTTTTTGTTAAAAGTAATCTCATAACCCAAATGCGCCGGGTCCCGGCTGATAGAGGCGGCGTGAGAGATCCTCCTGTTGCTGGAGGCGGCGTGAGAGGTCCTCCTGCTGGTGGTGGCGGCGTGAGGTGTCCTGCTGCTGGAGGCGGCGTGAGGGGTCCTCCTGCTGCTGGAGGCGGCGTGAGTGGTCCTTCAGCAGCTAGAGGCGGCGTGAGAGGTCCTCCTGCTGGGGGTCGCGTAAGGTGTCCTCCTGCTGCTGGAGGCGGCGTGAGAGGTCCTTCTGCTGCTGGAGGCGGCGTGAGGGGTCCTCCTGCTGCTGGAGGCGGCGTGAGAGGTCCCTCTGCTGCTGGGGGTTGCGTGAGGTGTCCTCCTGCTGCTGGAGGCGGCGTGAGAGGTCCTTCTGCTGCTGGAGGCGGCGTGAGGGATCCTCCTGCTGCTGGAGGCAGCGTCATGATCTTCCTTTGCCACTGGATGTGGCGTCGTGGATCTTCCTGCGCTGTTTCGAAAACGATAGCCTGCTGCTATCGGAGAGGTGGGTGATGCCGCATCCTCGCTACAGGGGGCTGTGCCACAGATTGAAGCAATCTGCCGGGCACAGTGAGACATCACACCTGCCACACCTGTAGCGCGTCTCCTTCCTCACGTTGCGGCTTACTCGGCAGTGACGACACCGGCGGTACTTTCGCCCTGGATTGAAAGCCAGGACGTGGCCCTGTGGTACCTGCTGGCGCTGCTGCTGACGTGGGGCGTTCCGGCGGCGAGGAGGCGATGGGGTGGCAGCCGGAGGCGTCCGAAGGCCACCCCTTCTCCCGTAGGCCGGAGGTTGATCGAGGAAGTTAGCTATGATCTCCAGGCGGAACTCAAGCTGGGTCAGGGTGCCACCCAACGCCCTGTGAACCACGAAAGCATTCACCACCGCCATGTCGAGCAAGTGGTAAAACACATTCTGGTACCACTTGTTAGTTCTTCTGGTTGTGGAGTACGACGCGGCCAACTGATCGGCAAGGTCTACCCCCTTCTTTCCCACGTTGTAGTCAACGACGGCTTGGGGCTTCGTCCGGACTACCACGGCGGTTGGGGCAGGTCAACCATGTCTGGGCCGTGGATGGTAGAAAGCATATGCACCGGCTTCCGATCCATCCAAGACATAGCCAACATCCCCGTCGCCGAAGTCCGGAAGTCGACGTCGCCGCGGGCGCTCACCTTGAGGTCCTTCGGCATGAACTTGCGGTTCAGCCGAATTGTTCGTCTTCCTTGATGACAGGTAATGAAAAAGTTCCGGGGAGCTGTACCAGTTGTCCAAGTACAGCTCGTAACCCTTCTCGAAGAAGCAGGCGCGGTTCATGAGGTCGGTCACAGCCTTCATGCTGGCAGGTACGTCGCCGCGGTCCTGGCCCATGTAGACATTGAAGGCACTGGTGTAGCCAGCACCAGCACCATCACTCTCGCACAGGCGATATACCTTCATCCCGAACCGCGCCCTCTTCGTCGGGTTGAATTGAATCGCGTGGTGACGTCCCCTGAACGCCCACAGCGACTCATCAACCACGATTTTCCTGTCAGGGATATAGACCGTCTTGAACGTCGTATCGAGGATATCCAACACCGGTCGCAGCTTCCACAGACGGTCGGTGTCGGCACGGGGGTCCTCGTTGTCCGAGAAGTGAAGCCGACTTTGTAAGGAATCAAACCTATCCCTGGTCATCGTTTCAGGGAACACAGACGAGGAGAGCAACCGGTTCTTCGACCAATAATACCGCGAATGCGGTCGCGGCTGCAGGCCCATGAGCAGGCGGAGGCCAATGAATGACTGCAGCTCCTCCACAGTCGTATTCTCCCAAGTCTTCATGTGTGAAGATGGGGTGACCGGCCTCTGCTCCACATACCGTTGGTCTCCTCGTCATAGTGTCCCACAATTCCGGTGTCAGGAAGCAGTCCAAGATCTCTCTTGCCGTCGAGTCGGCATGCAGGAGGCATGCTTCTTCGACCCCTGGGACGCCCTGGAAGGGGTGACGGCGCACGAAAGGTCTCTTCTTCCAGACGAAACCCGGAGTCCCTGGAGCGTTCCTCATAGCAAACCGACGTGCAACAGCTGACAACGGCTCGTCGGAGTCGATGGACGTGTCATGCGACGACACGTAATCAAACTCCTCCCAGTCGGCGTCGCTCTCCGTTGCCTCCGGCGAGTAGTCGGCATCGTCGTCAGAATCGTCAACATCCATATCCCAGTCGGAGTCTGGGATGTTGGGAATGGCGGTGGATCGTCCAGGGTTGGCAGGTTGGGCTGAGGAGTCGAGAGCCTCCCTCATCTCTCCTCGACCAGACGCGGTCTCATAGAGATAGAAGTGAGACTCCGGAGCATTCCTCAACCGTCTCGGGCCCTCTCCCGAAGTTGATGGTCTGGGGTCGTCAGGGTCGGAGTCGTAAAGGTTCCTTTCGGAAGTCAAGAGGCATTAAGTAAAGTTAGAAAAAAAAAAAAAAATATTGGCCATTGGTCAACGTGGGTCATTCTGATTTGTCAATGAGCGTGACGTCACGATGTAATACCCACCTCTCCTACCCGAGGTCTTTCCTCTCCCCCTCCCCCTACAGACGCACCTAATGCCAACCTGCCCCTCCTACATCCCGAGGTCCTCCCTCCCCCCTTCCCTCTCCGTCCCACCTGGTGCGTACCATCCCTGATTCCCGATGTGTCCCCTCTTTTCCCCCATAGCTTCAATTTTTTTTTTAATTCTTTTTAGCAGAATAGGGAAAGGTAGGACGCGCCTCACCTGACAGAGGTCACATAACTCGTCAAAGCAGGTAATTTTGATTGTCAATGACCGTGACGGCATAATGCACTAAGCACCACTCCTTTCCGAGGTCTTCCCTCCCCTCCTACAGGTGGGCCAGTGGGGAGGAGGGTGAGAAGCTGATCTTATTGCTAACACACGGATTAGTGATTTGCAGTTAGAAAAAAAAAAAAAAAAAAAAAAAAAAACTTTTGTCATGTACGGCAGTGGGGGAAGGGCACATTTGAAAATGAACTACCCAAGGTGTTTAACTGTGTTAAGAGAATTATTTTATATATTTATATATATATTTTTTCAGATTATGGGTCTTATTCAGAAACTGAACACACACAAACTTACTGTATATGTATTCAATCCCATGTACCTTTATTTTATGTTTTATAATGCTTCTATAAATGCATTTTACTTAACAGAAAAAGTAATCAATGAATTAATTAAGCTCTGAAGCAGTAGGAACATTACTTAGCAATAAACTTTACATACTTTTATATATCAATATAAAATTCTACATAACGATTAATGTTTCACACATTTATAAATAAATATAAGAAATAACAGATATAGCAAAGGCCAAAAAAAATTTAAGTTGTAATTTACTTTACCATTTATAATACAGTTTATGTTTATCAAGAAACCAAATTTATGTCTCAAAGAAAAACTTTTACTTCAAATATAAGAATTCGTATTGGTTTAATGATATTAAGCTTTATTATTCAATTGAAATTTCAATAAAGAATACACAATGAATAGGAACATTTCATTTTGATATGGCCTTGGAAATGCAAAACATAATCACCTTATAATTTATTGAAGGCAAACAATACATAAACCTCAACACAGCATAATAATAATCCTTAGAAAATAATTTATCAAATGATTCTTAATATGAAAAAATCCATTATTACTGAAGACCAGCGCTGACTAGTTTTTAACTAAAAAGTAACATAATAACTTTGGTCTAGCATCACATTCCCCATCAAGAACAAAAATATATGTTTTCATTTTTTTATACAATTAACAAATATATTATACCTGACAAATATATATATTGAGTTATATTTTCCTAAAAAGTAATTAAATACATTAAGAACTGATATATTTAAGTTTTGGAAAAAAATCAATAAAATTTTCTGGGTAGTCTTCTGCACACCCTGGGCTCTAATAACAGAGGCATCATGAGGATTATGTTGGAAATCTGGTAGATCTAATGGAATTTTATAGGTAAATGTAATGTGCACAAGCCTTTTTTTTCTTTTTCTTGAGCAGCTTAGTCTTCATTTGTATAGATAGGACAGCAAAAATCCTTTTCAAGACACCAAATGCTCTATCGGTGGTATTCCTAGTACTGACATGGGAGGAATTATACCTACTCTGCTTGATAGTACAAGGATTACCAAAAGGAGTCAATGTAGGATATCCGCTCTCCCCCAACAGAAAGCCTTTGTAAATGCCTGATTGCACCTTTTCACATAAGAGAGACTCATTGAAAATATTAGCGTCATAGGCACTACCAAGCCAGTTTGCAATAACATTTAAACATTTTAGGGAAGCATCACAGACACCCATCACATTCAGAGAGAAGAATCCCTAATGGCATCGGTACAGTTCAGCATCTACTCCACCAGGACTTCTAGTTAGAATGTGTCTCCCGTCTACACACCCAATAAAACCTGGCATCTTAGCAATCACAGGGAACTGGCTCATGATGGCATCTTCCTGATTGCAATAGTTGAGACACATCTACTGGTGCTGGACTGGGACACATCTGGACTGTCAGCCATGCTCAGCTGAAAATTTCTCTCAAACTAATGGTCAGCTGAAGATGAGGTTGGGTGGGGCTAGCTGTGAAATAAAGTAGGTATCCTTATATAATATAAGTACATATTTGGCCTACACATTTTGCAAGAGCAAGGAGAGAAATATTAATTTATACTATAAATAAGTGTTTTCAAGTGTGTTATATGAACTAGAAGTGTTAAAACATTTTGAGTAAAATTTATGTTCCATATTAAGATATATCATTATGCTCACCTCTGTATTATGTACTACTGCTAAATGGTACCTGATGTTCTCAATCAGTACAGTGACACACTCTTTAGTCAGCCTTGCCACGAATTCTTCATTGCTGTAGGATTGAAAATGATTCATCCTGTCATGTACCACATCTTTCAACTGTGGCTGCTCTCTGCAAAGTAGCAAAATGTTGCAGATGTTGCAAATTATTTATTCTGAAATGTGACAATTTTATGAATAAATCAATATCTGGTAATGTACTTGTCACTGTATTTTTTAAGGCGATTACAAAGCCTAAGTAGAAAATTAGAGTATGTTCTAAAACATATTTCACATTTACAGAATAATATATCCAAATAAAATAAACTGGTTTTCAATTTTCTCACAAAATTATGCCAATATTTCATGAATTTTTCAGGTACCCTAAATTATTATTTAAATGATTTTATATGCATTTAAAATCCCACTAGTTATACCCATCCATTATAACAAAGCACTACCGAATAATGACTGCCATAATGATTGACACCATCAATAGTTTTTTGATGAGAGAGGGAGATCAAAGAGAAAGAAAGAGAAAGAAAGAGATAGAGAGAAAGGAATAGACAGAGAAAAAAATTGTAGACATTTAAAAGAAAATAGTTCTCAATAAGGCACTTCATAAATAGGCCATATCACAAAGGCTTAACAATAAATTCTACAATTTAAAGAGTACTTTTTTGTTAGCACTGGCCAGTAGACCTACATC